CCTCCTCTCCAGCTCCACAGCCCCAGCTCCCTCAGCCTTTCCTCATGGGCCAGATGCTCCAGTCCCCTCAGCCCCTTGGTGGCCTTTGCTGTCCCCTCTCCAGCAGCTCCTTGTCCTTCTGGGGAGCCCAGCCCTGGACCCACTTCTCCAGATGGGCCCTCACCAGAGGGGCAGGAGAACCTCCCTGCCCTCCTGCCCACACTCTCCTTGGTGCCCCCCAGGAGCCCATGGGCCCTCTCGGCCACCAGGGCCCGTTGCTGCCTCATGGTCACCCTGTTGTCCCCCAGGACCCCCAGGTCCTTGTCCCCAGAGCTGCTCTCCAGCAGGTCCCCCCACCCTGTGCTGCTCCCTGGGGTTGTTCCTCCTTGGGTGCAGCTCCTGTACTTGCCCTGGTTGAACCTCATGAGGTTCCTCTTCAGTCTGTCCAGGTCCCCCTGGGTGGCAGCCCAGCCCTCGGGGGTGGTACCCTCCCCTTCCAGCTGGGAGTCACCAGCAAAGGTGCTGAGGGGTCACTGTCCTATCATCCAGATCATTAATATACTGACCAATCTGGGAGAAGGACCATGCTGCAGTTGGGTTCCCCCAACACCACGGTCTACTGGGATGACTGGGAAGAGCCCTCAGCCCCTCCCAGAGCCCCATGTCCCCAGGGAACATGGTCCTGCTTGGCCCTGTGGTCTGGAGTGGGGGAGGTGACAGCTGAACTTACAGAGGTTGAGGGGGGACATCTCCTCCCGCGGGGACCAGGCTCGGTCGGAGGGGTGAGGTTCTCCATGGAGTCCTCCCGACATCATCTCCCGTTTGATTTCCACCCTCAGTTGATCTTGTTTGAGTTTCTTCTGCAAGGAGGGAGGAGAAAGGCCTGGAAACATCTTCCGGGCGGTGGGAGGTGGGGACGAGGTAGGAGATTGCCCCATGGGGCTGCCAGGTTGCTGGACCTTCTTGGGAAGAGTTGGGATGTGAAGCTCTCCGGGACCGCGCGGCTCCAAGGATCCCATGGTGCCCAGGAGGGTCTTGGCCATGGCTTTTTGCCCAGGTCCAGGGGGGTGGGAGGTGCTGCTCCGGGGCTGGGTTCTGCGTTTGAGGATCTCCCGGAGGGTGTCGATGGGGGAACCGTTGACGTACCACTCGGTCACCCCCATCTGGCGCAGGTGGGAGCGCGCGTGGCTGGAAAGGCCCTTCCGGTTCTCGAAGTATTCCCCGCAGAACTCGCAGCGGATGTCGCGCACCGGCTCCGAGCCCGAGGCTGCGGGGACACGTCGGGGTGGGGGGAGAGGGAGCAGGCTGGCTCAACAGACATGGGGGCACAGCCCATCCCTGCCCACAACTGGGAATCATAGAGTCATGGGACGGGTTGGGTTGGAGGGACCTCAAAGATCATCCAGATCCAACACCACCATGGGCAGGGACACCTCCCAGCAGCCCAGGTTGCTCCAAGCCCCATCCAACCTGCCCTTGGACACTTCCAGGGATGGGGCAGCCACCTTGAAGATCATCTAGTGGATCATCTCAGTGGCTTTCAAGGTCCTTTCCAACTCAAACCATTCCATGATCCAAAGACCATCCAGTCCCACCCCCCCATGAGCAGGGACATCTCCCACCAGCCCAGGTTGCTCCAAGCCCCATCCAACCTGCCCTTGGACACTGCCAGGAATGGGGAAGCCACAGCTTCCCTGGCCCAGGCTCTCCCCACCCTCCCAGACAAGAATTTCCTCCTCGGGTCCAACCTCCAGCTCCCTCTGCCAGTTTCAAGCCATCCCCCCTGGTCCCATCACTCCTGCCCTTGACCCAAGTCCCTCCCCAGCTTTCCTGGAGCCCCTTCAGGCACTGGAAGAGCTCAAACACATCATGGAAACCCAGGAGAACACTGGGGGGTGTGGGGAACTCAATGGAAGAGCCACAGAGCAACGGGACAACCCGGACATTGTGTCTCTTCCGTCCTTGTGGCACTGGGAACTGGTGACTCCTGCTGGTGCCACGGTGCCTGAGCCCATGGAGGGGTTGGGATAAGACACCACGTGCCTCAACCAAGCACATCCCAGCTAATCCCAGTGCTGGATGCTTGGCCTTCCAAGGAGGCAACTCCCAACCCCTGGGAAATGCTGCTTCCCAGCAGAGTTGATGAAGAAGAGGAGGAAGATGAAGCAGGAAGGGGTTTTCCCACAAACCCGAGCCAGGAAATAGCCTGGAGGAGGGACACAACTTGACTGGTCCCTCCTGCCCTCCGGCTGTGGAGGGAAGGGAGGAGCCATCAGCACAACCTTGGGAAGGGGACATGGAGACAGATCCAGGTCTGGAACTGGGGCAGAACCACCACGGCACCTTGAACCCGTAGGGCAAGGGGGACTTGGGCAGCATCACTGGAGGATGTTCAAGTCCAGCTATTCCCAACGGTGGGAAAAGCTCACCTAGGAGACCTGGGTGGTAATTCCCACCATGAGTTGGGATTCTGGGCATGGCTGGGATCCCAGGAGGGACCAATGGAGACGGAGAAGCAGCCAAGCCCTGGCACCAGCTCCAGATTCTTGGTGGGCAAAGGAGAATCACAGAGTCATCCTGGTTAGAAAAGACCCTGATGATCATTAAGTCCAACTATAACCTAAATCCACCAACCACAACCTCATTTACCCCTTCAGTGGTGAAATCACCTCCCTCAGCACCACGTCTGTATTTCCTGTAAACACTTCCAGAGATGGTGACTCCACTGACTCCCTGGGCAGCTGTTCCAGTGTCCAGCCACTCTTTTGGTAACTAAGTTCTTCCTCATATCCAGACTAAATCTCCCCTGGAGCAACTTCAGCCCATTTCCTCTGGTCCTGTCATTATTCACCAGAGAAGAGCCCAACACCCACCTCCCTACAACCTCCTTTCAGGGAGTTGTGGAGAGCAATGAGGTCTCCCCTCAGCCTCCTGTTCTCCAAGCTAAACATCCCCAGTTCCCTCAGCTTCTCTTCATAGAGGACTTTTTCTTCAGACCCTTCCCCAGCTTGGTGGTTCTTCTCAGGACACACTCCAGCCCCTCAACATCCTTCTTGTAGTGAGGGACTCAGAACTAATCTCAGTGCTCAAGGTGTCACCTCACCAGTGTCGAGTACAAGGGGACAATCACCTCTCTCCTCCTGCTGGCCACACCATTTCAGATGCAGGCCAGGATGCTGGTGGCCTTCTTGGCCACCTGGGCACACTGCTGGCTCATGTTAAGTTTGCTGTCAACCAGGAAGGAAGGAAATGAGCTGATTCCTGGTTCCCTTGCTCAGGATCTGCCCATGGCTCAGCCAGGTCACCTGCTCCTCCAGCTTCCTTAGTGGGCAGCCCTAACGAGAGGGAATTCTGGTGCTGACCAGGAGGCAGGAGCAAAGAGGCTTTGGATGCTGAGTATCCCTGCTCCAGCAGAGCTACAGGCACATCCTCCAGCTCCAGAGTCTGTCCCACCATGGAGCAGTGTCTGGCTTTGCCATCCTGGAGCTTTCCAGCTTGGGAAAAGAGAAGGAAGCTGGGATGGAGCAGTTTTACAGCCCTAGGGTTCCGAGAACCTGGGAGGGTTGGGAAATCCCCGGGATGTCCACAGCATCCCTCTGCTTGGAAAAGATCTGGTACACCATCAAGTCCAGCCACTACCCTAACTCTGCCACGTCCACCACCAAACCCTGTCCCCTGGCACCACATCTGTCTTTTTGGATGTCTCCAGGGATGGTGGCTCAGCCACCTCCTGGGACAGCCTGGATCACCCAGTCCAACTCCTGCCCCAGAACAGGACAACCCCAAAGTTCACACCACGTCCCTGAGGGTGTTGTCCAAGTGTTTCTTGGATATTGTCAGGCTCAGCACCATTCCTGAACCTCTTCTAGTGCTCCACCACCCTCTGGGTGAAGAATCTCTTTGTAATGTCCAACCTGAACCTCCCCCTGCTCATCTTCCCACCATTCCCTCGGGCCCCATCGTTGGTCACCAGCAAGAAGAGGTCAGCACCTCCTCCTCCCCTAATGAGAAAGGTTGAGACATATCAGGGCTTAAAGCTGCCCCTGCAGCAAAAGAGAATCCAGCTCCTTTAGAGCAGGATATAATCCCAAAGGTGCTACAATTTCCACTGGGAAAGATAAAGCTGGTGCTGCCAGCAGTGGGATGGGCAAGTCTGGTAACGAGGATGAAGAACCAATGAGCTGGAGACACCAAGAGCCCCTTGGACTGCAGATGGGAACGTTCTGGGCAAGGCAGGGAGCTCTGGGAAAAGGTGGGAAGAGAAGCTGGGAAAACCAGCCTGCTCCCAAGGATAAGTCAGCAATAGAGCTTGGGGACAGGGCAGTGACAGGGTCCCAAGAGCTGTTGTGGTGCAGCTCCAGGGGCATCCAAGGCTGGAAAGAGCAGCCGAGAGTGAGTGGATGGTGTCCAAGAAGGAAGAGCTGGGATTGAGCTGTGGAGCAGGAGGGATGTCCAGTGAAACCATGGCCTGGAGAAGCCCAGAAAAGTGGGGTGAGATGGGCTGGGAGAGGCAGCACCTTTCCTGAAATCCCAACAGGAATCCTTCCCTGTCAGGGAAAACCAGCACCCATCTCCCTGGCACAGCTGTGACCAAACTCCAGATCCTCCCCAGAGCCCCGTGGCCTCCTAGCTGGGGAGAGGGAATCCAGACATCTCCTCCCCACCCTTTCTCAAATGGAAAACACCAGAAAAAACCCCAAGAAACTCACTTAAATTCAGGGGTCCTTCCTCATCCGTCTGCGGCCACTGCGCCTTCGGGGAGCTCTGCAGGGGGCTCAGCGAGAGCTTGGAGCTCTTCTCCTCAGGATTCTTGGGAGATGGAGACCCCGAGAGAGCAGGTGGCACCTTCTTTAGGATGGGAGATCCCGGTTGGGAAAGGTTTTTGGAGAAACCAGGAGGAGATTTGATGGCTTTGTTGACAGGAGCGTCCAGCGAGCGCTCGCCGGCCGCCTTGCCGAGCGCCAGGAGGGAGGGTCGGGGAGATGCGGTGTCTTTGGGGGTCTTTTTTCCCAGGGGGGGACACAAGGAGCTGCCCTCGGGCTTCCCCTTCTGCTTCATCAGTTCATAGAGGAGGTCGATGGGGGCTCCACTGCTCTCCGACTCGGCCACCCCCAACTGCCGGAGGTGGGAGCGGGCGTGGCTGGATAAACCTTTGCGGGTCTCGAAGCAGGCGCCACAAACCTCGCAGGTGGTGAGATTCTGGGCTGGAAATTGGGGGAGAGAGGGACAAATCAGGGAGGGGTTGTGGTAGGAGGCAAGAGGAGCAGCTTCCAGGTGTGGTTTGATACACTCGTGGGATGCTTTGGGTTGGAGGGACCTTAAAGACCATCCAGTCCCACCTCCATCATGGGCAGGGACACCTCCCACCAGCCCAGGTTGCTCCAAGCCCCATCCAACCTGCCCTTGGACACTGCCAGGGATGGGGCAGCCACAGCTTCCCTGGCCCAGGCTCTCCCCACCCTCCCAGACAAGAATTTCCTCCTTGGGTCCAACCTCCAGCTCCCTCTGCCAGTTTCAAGCCATCCCCCCTGGTCCCATCACTCCTGCCCTTGGCCCAAGTCCCTCCCCAGCTTTCCTGGAGCCCCTTCAGGCACTGGAAGCTGCTCCAAGGTCTCCCTGGAGCCTTCTCCTCTCCAGGCTCAATCCCCCAGCTCTCCCAGCCTGTCTCCAGAGCTGCTCCAGCCCTTGGATCATCTCTGTGGCCTCCTCTGGACTCTCCAACAGCTCCGTGTCCTTCCTGTGTTGGGGACCCCAGAGCTGTTCCCAGCCCTGCAGGGGGGTCTCACCAGAGCAGAGGGGACAATCCCCTCCCTGGCCCTGCTGCCCGCACTGCTGGTGACACAGCCCAGGACACGGGGGGTTTCTGGGCTCCAGCACATGGTGCCAGCCCATCTTTCTCCAACCCAAGGGATTTTTATCACCTTCCAACCCTTGGTAGTGAAGATGAGGATGCTCCACATGCCCCTGCACGGGACAGGGAGGAAGGAGCAGGACAGTGGGAGGGAAAGGGGGGGAGAGGCTGATTTTCCTGCTCTGGGATGATTTATGCAGAGTTTCTGGGTTGGGGAATCACAGGCAGGACCCAAAGCCCAACCAGCAAGGGAGAGGGATCACAAACCAATTAATTAAGGGAAAAATCTTCAATTAGGAGGGGAAGGACTAATTGAGGCGGCTGGAGGAGGACAAGGAGCACCCATCAGTCCCAGGAAGCTGATTCCAGGGAAGAAACCAGTGATACTAGAAGAAAGTTCAACCACCCTCTTAATTAGAGGCTTAATTAAGGAAAAGGGCGTGAAAATCCTCCTGGATTGAACTAAATTCCTGCCAGGATCCCTCCTCTCTGCTCCCAGCAAAAAAAACCTGGGAGTCTGGCTGTTGGAGATCACAGAATATCAGGGGCTGGAAGGGACTTGTGGAGATCATCAGAGCAGGAACACCCAGGGCAGGACACTCAGAGAGGGATCCAGGTGGGTCTTGGAAGCCTCCAGAGAAGGAGACTCCACAGCCTCTCTGGGCAGCCTGTCCCAGTCAAGAAGTTCTTCCTCATGTTGAGGTGGAACTTCCTGGGCTCCAGTTTGAATCCATTGCTCCTCGTCCTGTCACAGGGCACAAGGGACAAGAGCTTGTCCCTTCCTTCTTGATGCCCTCAGGTATTGATAGACACTAATTAGATCCCCCTCAGTCTTCCCCCCTCCAGACTAAACAGCCCCAGGTCCCTCAGCTTTTCCTCACGGTTCCAGTCCCTTCATCATCCCTGTAGCCTCCGTTGGACTCTCTCCAGTCAATCCCTGTCCCTCCTGAGCTGGGGAGCCCAGAACTGGACACAAATGCTGAGAAGTTGGGAGAAATACTCACTTTTGGGGTCCTGAGGCTCTGGTTTGCTCCCGGGTGGGGGCTCAGGAGACAATTTGGTCCCTATCCTGGGGGGGGTCGGATCCAGCTGCGTGGCCGGAGCGCTTTTTTTTGGGAGAGGGGGTGAAGTCACTTCCATGGCCACCAACTCCTCCTCCTCTGGAGCCAGGACTGCCAAGAGAAAGACACTGTGAGTCCCCAGGGTGGGGGAGGTGGCTGAGGGAGGAGGTGGCTTCATCCAGGGGTGGATGGGGTGTCAGAGGGGAACGCTCACCGTGGTGGCAGGTGACATGGAGCTGGGACCTGCCAGGGGGATTTGGGGGTGTTTGGGGACAGGGGGAGAGGGGCAGGATGGTGGCAGTTCCCTGTGGAGGTGGGAAGGGGTGTCCCCCACAGGGGGTGGTGGTAGCTCTGGGGACACACACAGAGGAAGGTGGCAGGTCACTGGGGTGGGAGGCACAGGGACATGAAGGTGGCATCTCTCTACAAGTGGGAGGGATGGAGGGTGGCAGGTCCCTGTGGGGAAAGGGATGGGGCAGGTGGCAGGTCCTTGGAAGGAAGGGGACAGGGAGGGTGGCAGGTCCTTGGAAGGAAGGGGACAGGGAGGGTGGCAGGTCCCTGCTGGGGAGGGGACAGGGAGGGGGGGGAGTCGAAGGGAG